ATGCTAAGCTTTGCATTAGCTGCCCTGAAGTCTTATGGCTGAAGCTGTCTACAGCTGAAATGGACAAAGAGCTAAAGCATCATGTGACCAGCACTGCACATTTGGCATGATAATGCTGGATTTGACAGGAGTTCTCTGCACATCATTCCCTTGGTACCTGTTTTGAGGAGGAGCATTAGGGTCCTGTTTTTTGCTTTTTGACCCCACACTGTCTCTTTTAGGTTTTTTCTTCTTTGGTTTTCCTTCCTCATTTTCTCCCTCTTCATCTTCATCATCCAAAGGCACATCAAACTCTGGTTCTTTCAATAAGCCAAAGAAAACCTGCAAGCCAATAAGATACATACGACATAATGGCAACTGTTGCTCTTACTGAACACTAATTTTTCAGTCTGAAAGGGACAGCTCTACTAAATTGAACATTACTGCGTTCGTTACTGATTAGTCTGTCACAAGTGTAATACATGTTCTGCTGTTTTACCCAGCAATTGATCTGGACAACTGTGAGTTCTCCCATAACCTCTTAGTGCTTCCCTAAAGCAAAATCCCTACCACTTACATAATGTATTTGTGTGGCATTATATAGTACTACAACTACTGTTGAGATCTACCCAACAGTCTTTGCAGTAACAACTGGAAGTAAGAACGGTTGTTGCTGTACTAGAGAGGATGCCAGATGGGTCAATTTTAAAACTACACAGCAAAATCATGAGTTTAAATCCAGTTCAGCAAACAGAATATAGAGCTGTCTATCACAGTTCCTTCTACTGGTCAGTGACACATTTTGATTTCTCTACTCCTGATAACATCTATTTGTACTGAACTCTTCCTTCACTTTGTTCGTGTTGTCGTTTAAGATCTCAAGTAGCAATAATCAGTACTTTCTGAAAAACTACTCTGGAAACGTTCAATAATAAAGAGCAATAATCTTTTCCTCCTACCTTTGCTTTATTTGCCTCTCGTTTTGCCTCCCCAGCCAAGCTCCCAACCATAGCATCTATCTGTTGTTTACTACGAGGCATTCCATCAAAAATATCAATGTAGAGATGTTCCTGAACAATGTTCCAGATCTGGTTGTTCTGCTTTTCCTGAAGATGCCTCTTCAGGAGTTGGTAAGAGTCACGGGAAATACGCAGAACAAACTTGCTTGTTCGGAAATCCAGCATGGTCTCATTGCCTTTCATATGTTCCTTTTTGGTTAAGCTAGATAACACACGGAGGTCATCTTGGTAATAACATTCCTGATCCCCATGAAATCTATTGAAATTCAACACGTGGTAAAAAATTTATTAGAAAATACTATCTCCTAAGTGCACACTTAGTTACATCATTTTAACATGAAACACAGTAGCTTCCAAAGATTCCTCAACAACTACATATGGAATGATCTTCGTGCTGGAATAAGATTCCTTTCGCAACGAATCAGCGACTTATTGTACACAGTAAAATTAATTAAGAGTTTAAATTAAAAAAAAAGATGAAGAGAATACACAGAAATACATAAGCACAAAGGATTACTGCCTGCAGTAAATAGTTACACTAATACATCTATTTACATAAATGAAACTTCAATTAGTGGTACCATAAAGTACAAGGCATTTCTTACTATGTAAGACTACCTGGATGTATTTGTAATTGACTCATATGAATATGCACATTTAACAATGAATGCATTCCTCACTTCCCACTCACATTACCTAATAGCTGACATACATCTAGAAAAAATAAGCTTCCATTTTTAATTCAAATCATTTATAAGATACTTGTGGCAGGGAACATTTTAATTATTTAAAGAACTTTTTTTCTGACCATGTTTGAGGGATAAACACGGGTTGAAATGTTTCTTAATTGGTTTGATCCCAGAATATAATAATGTAGATTAATGATAATTTCCTTTAATCTTAGAATAATTTAAATATATACAGTATGATGTTAGTAAACATTTATAGACTGCACTGCTTTGGATCTCGGTGCAACTTTCAAGTGCTAGAAAACGAGCCCATAATCTTTCCCTAAAGCAGCAGCATCTTCTCATTGATACTTTGCAGCAGGGAACTCACCACCTCAACATAAACACCATTAAAATCTGCAAGTGTACAGTTCAAAAGCATGGAGTTTGCACATCTTTCTAACACTGAAGATTGGAAAAGGATTAACAATTCCAGCAAACCACAGATTGTAAGTCCCTTCAGCATTACTGAAGAGCATGTGTTTGTATATGTATATATGTACACACACGCCTATGCCAGCCACTACAGCTAACGGACTTAATCAAAGTAGCAGACAGCACATAATGGAATTACACAAATTAAAATCACTTACCTTTCAAAAAAAGACTTAGCTTCACTCTCATGTTGGTTGTAGACCAACTCCAAGTACATGTGTACAAAGAGAGGATAAAACAGCTGAGACAGTTCAGCCCGATGACAGTCCAGGGAACACTCAATGAAGTTTTTTAAACCGCTGTAGTACTCCTCATACAGCGTTGGGTCCCCCTGCTGATTGTAGGCAGACAACACTGCACTCACATCTGGCTGATCCTCCACAACAACACCTCCTCCAACTGCAAAAGCATTAGCACATAACAGATTGTAATGCTGCCTCAAAGAGCAATACACAAATAGCAAACACACAGTGGCTAACAACACCTATGCTGAGGTAAGATGCTCAGAACAAAACAGAACATTGTTTTGCATCTGTTCAGCCCTACCTTTAAGTGATACAATTGAGAGGATGGTGGCATATTAACTATAGCCCAGCAACTGATTCTTCAAGTACAGTTCTTAATTTTTTGTGTCCTCCCTGCCAAAAGTTGCCTACAAAGTATTTAACGTAGTGCCTAACTCAGCTAAGTGAAAAAAAAGCTAGTGTCGCATCAGAATCCTTCACTGCAAGGGCTAGAAACTGTCAAATGAGGAGCTGAATATTTTTAAGCCTGTAAGATATAATCACTATAATTATTTTGCTTCTAACAAGCAAATTAAGTTAATCAACTGAACAATTTACCAAGACCACTTCATAGCCATTACAGGGCAGTGACTTTCTGCCACTTCCTAGCACTCTCATAGCAGTCATTAAACACTTTTGTCTCTTGGTCTTCTATCTTAATATATATGTACCTCCTATCAGGTGATGCCAGGAACAAGCTGACTTCATATTGTACTCTTACTGCCATTCAGACGTATAAGTTCCTGAAACACTTCCAATATTACGTAAAGCTGCCCCACGTTAAAATTTATTACAGTCTGAGGACTGAGGAACAGCTAAAGCCATTATCAGCTGGCACTAGAAATGCATAAAGCCTTTTCCACGAGTACCCTACTGCTCTTTCTTCAAAATGCAGCAGCTTGTACATCGGGGCTCTGGCAACATCCCTGCAGCCATCACCTCTACAAAGGTAATCACATCACAACTACAAAGGGAATCTTCAGCCTCGCGTGATGCCCTTCTTGAGATGGTACCCAAAGACAACGGGAAGCACTTGTCCCAGTAAGCAAAACAGACAGCCTATCCTTGGTCCCCTTCTCTGAGAGGTGCACCCCAAAATCGCGATCTCTTCTGGAGTTGCACGGCAGACTGCCAGAACCACCGATTTCCCCGAGGAGTGGGGTGCAGCCTTATCGTCCCCGGAGGAGCCACCCAGGGGAGCTCAGCCCGTGCCTCAGCATCACAGAGCCCCGAGGCAGCGGGAAGCACACCGAGTCCCTTCCGGCGGGGCCCCCCCTCCCGTAGCTGCCGAGCGCGTCTCACCTTTCCCCGGTGGCACTGCGGCCGCTGCCGCCACCCCCGGGCTAGAAGAGGCGACGGGGGCGACGCTGCCTCCTATCGCGATGGTGGCGGCGGCGGCGACCCGGCTGAGCAGCGCCTCGCTGCTGCTGGCATCCCCTTCGCCCCCCGGGGCTCCCGGGAGCCCGGCACCGGCGGGGCTGAGGGCGGCGGCTCCGAGGTCCTCGCCGAGCAGTCGAGCTTCGCGACGCAGGATCTCTTCGGACTCGCGGAGGTTGCTGCGCCGCAGGAACTGCAGCACTGCCACCAGCGTCTGCCGGTCCAGCGCCGCCGAAGAGGCGGCCGGGCCCGGTGCCGAGGGCTTACCGGACGATGCATCCCCGGCGCTCCCCGCCGTCTCCCCCTCCGCCGCCGCGGCCGACGGAGCGGGGGGGGCGGCGGTGGCGGGGGGAGCGGCGGGAGGCTGTGGCGGCGTCCCCGCCTCCGGGTCCGGCTTCACCGCGGCAACCTCCGCCGGCTCCTCAGCTACCGCCGCCATCTTGCATCGCCCCCCATTCGCCGGTGGCAGGCGGCTGCCGCCAAGCGCGGATGTTTTTGCAACAGTCAGGGCAAAGGAAGGGTACCGCCCTCTGTGACTGGCAGAGCGCTCGTAGCTTCATTTTGCGACGGTGCCGGGAGGGCTTTACGGCAGCGAGGTGGGCTGGGAGCGCAGTACGCCGCGCTCGGCGGTGATGCTCCGCGGGCGTCCTGCAGCAAACACGGACCGATGATCGCATGGGCGCAAACTGCGGGACGGACCGCTGCTTTCTGTGCGTGTATGCGAGAGATCATATTCAAAGTGACATTGATTTTGTATTAAAAAATCAATGCCGCCTCTGGTATCCTGCTTGGAGGAGACCAACGATGTCTCTAAGATTGTGCCATTACGAGGTTGATTCCTAATTAATTACAGCCGGTCACGTGCTTTCCCAGCTTTCTGTCTGTTAAAATCAGGATTCTTTGATATTACAGAATAAGCGCTTGAAAAAAAAAACCCAAAAAACAAAAAAATTCCCTATCTTGTGGCTGACGTGCTTTCTAGATGAATTACACGCCGCACCGCGTTAGCGAATCACTCGATTCTTAGCAGTAGGAGCGAAGAGTGTAGAAAGGTCCTTAGGCAAGAACGCTGTCAAGCGTAACAACGGCGAGAGCCGTGCCCGCTAAAACTACAGCTCCCAGCACGCCTACTGCCCATGCGCCGCGCCCGCCGGCCCGCAGCCACAAGCGCTGCCCGCGCGTGCGCAGTGGCCCCCTGCGCCGGCTCAGCTCGCTCCCCACCCTCAGCCCAAGCCATGGAGGTGGAGGCGGATGCGGGCTCTGTGGTTTCGGGGCTGTCGGGAGGGGATGGTGCCGGCGCGGGCCCCGCCGATGAAGACCAGGAGATGGAGGGAGCCCCCGGCTGCTCGGGGTCGCGCTCCCTGCCCTTCGAGTTCGAGCGGAGCCGCTCGGAATCCAGCGGCGATGAGGACGATGAAGATGACGAGGAGGAGGAGATGGAGGAAGAAGAGCTCGAGGGGGACTCCGGGGTTCGCTTTGGTACAGACGACGGCGAGCTCGACTCGGACGACGACCGGGAGGTAAAGAAGAGGAAAGGTGTAAAGGCGGGGGAGCGCTGAGCTGCGGGCGCCCGACGGCTGTAGGCGCGGCAGGCAGGCCTAGCTCCCGGCGTGCACCGCGCGGCGCGTGCTGCTCGAGGCGGCGGCGCGCGCTGAGGGGGGGAGGCGCGGAGCAGCGGGTTTGTGCTGCCTGCTGCTGGGGGCTTGGGAAGGCTGCCGGGTGCGAAGAGGCTCTTTCGTTATTAGCCAGATCCCTTCTGTCTGCTTTAAACGATGCCTTTGTGCGTAATTGGTGTTGTTGAAATGGTGGATGCAAAATGACAGACGTGATCAAAGCGCGGAAAGCCCTCAGATCTGGCTTTAAGACTGGAGCAAACAGCGTGCTAATGTCACGCGTTGGCCTTCTGAGGTACAAAGCTGCTGTCAAAGCCACTGTCGTGGGAGAAATTCGTTCTTTCCCAAAGTAATGGGCTTCTGGCAAAGCTGGGAGAGCTCCTCGTGTGCGTTCCTGATGAAGTACTTCATTACCAGAATATAGGGCAGTGAAACTTCATTCCTTGCTTCAGTATTTAGCTGTATAGGAGCAGGAGGCAGCACTAAATCTGCCTCTTGACTGAGGGCCTCCATCAATTTCAAATAGTGATTATTTTTTTTTTCTTACTGATTGTTTTGTTACAGAGCTCATTCAAAACAACTCATCCCAAAAGTTTGTTTGCTTTTAAGGTACGATTAATGAAATAAATCACTGCTCACAAAAAGATTGATTCTGAAGACTAGACAAAAGTCTTTAGCATCATAGAATGGCTTAGGTTGGAAGGGACTTCAAAGATCATTGAGCTCCAACCCCCTGCTGTGTGGGCTGGATTGCCCACCATATCTGGACCTTCTCCAGCCTGGCCTTAAATGCCTGCAGGGATGAGACATCCAAGGTGTTAGTCCTTTTTTTTTTTAATTGTTCATTATTTCAGGTTGCGATATTTTGGAAGCTGAAATTGTGTAACTTCATGGCTTTACCTCTATTTTTAAATTCTTGTCAACTGTTTTTGTTTGTAGCGTATGATAAACCTGGCAGAGTTGACCCCTTACATCCTGTGTTCCATCTGCAAAGGTTACTTTATTGATGCTACAACTATTACAGAGTGTCTGCACACCTGTAAGTACCAGTGCTTCCATTCTAAGAACCTAGCTGCAAGTGCGACCAAAAAACAGATATTCAGGTGTTCTGACTTCACAAAGATAATCTGCTATTTGAAGCTAACTGTCCTTAAGGAAAACATATTGATGCTTATATCAAACATCAGAAAATCATTAACTCTGTCAAAGATGAAGTCAGCTTACTAGGTTAGGAGGGAGGTAGGGAAGAAAGTGTAGGGAAGGATGAAGCCCAAGTAAAATGAAAATAGAACTGCTACATATGTTAGGTATGCATAAAACACATGAAAATTGCAGAATTATTTCTTACCTTGGTTGTTCGTCTGAAATTGTTTGTAGGATGCTTTTCAGCAAACCTTTTATCTGTAGCAGTCAGTCTGTTGACATAACTCTGCTGTTGTCCTGGGTATTGCACTTAGAACATTAAACAGCTACCTTTGTACCAGTAGGATTATAAACCTACGTGTTGTATCCTGTGAACGGTACAGGCAGTTTGTTAGTGTTTGTTAGTGCTGCTGAAATACTTCATTTTATTTCTAACAAACTATTTGACAAATCTGAATGCTTCTCTTGCTTAAGCAGATGTCATTGTAGAATGGACATGTGACTTAACAGGATTTTATTTTATTCTTTTACAGTTTGTAAAAGCTGCATAGTGAGACACTTCTACTATAGCAACAGATGTCCAAAATGCAATATAGTTGTACATCAGACACAGCCCCTCTATAACATCAGGTAATAACTCTGTTGCACTTCTGTAGGCATAACATCACGTTTTGCATTTGCTTTTGAAAGTATGATTTTACTGCCTGTAGTGCTTTCCAGTTTGGAATGAAGATACAGTTACAAGGAAGACATTTGTTTTTGTAAGTTTCATCTCAATAGTGAAAATAAAATTATTCAGTTTCTTTCTCTTTTCCAGGGTTTGTTTACCCTTCCGCCCTGGGTAATGTTGTGTATTTGTACAGTGTTGTTGATTATGAGAGAAAGATCTCAAGCCATTTGCTTTGGATAGACCCATCTTTGTTGGCACGGCATTAGTATTTACTAATTCTGAAAATGGAGTTTCAATTTACTGAACTGTTCTTGCAGGGTGTTGCTGCTTTTTTTTTTTTTTTTTTAAACATGGCTTCTTCTATCAGAGCTCTCTTGGCAGGACATGAATTTAGGCAGGTGGAGTTGCTGCTCTGTCTCTTACATACGTCATTTCAACAGTGTATTTAGCAGTTTTGTTGCAGTTTGGTGAAATAGAGAATACTTTACATTAAAGACTTCTTTTTTTCTCTTTGATAGACTGGACAGGCAACTACAAGACATAGTCTATAAATTAGTTGTCAATTTGGAGGAAAGTAAGTCCATTTCTTTATTTTATTGCCATCTAGAGATTGGAACGAGTAAGCAGAAAGGGCAGTAATTCAAAGTCCCGTTTTAACTCTGAGCTCGTTAGAAACAGTTTCACAACATTTGGTTATCAATCCTAATGAATTACCTGTGCAAACTGGCATTTTTCTGGCTGCTAAGTTCTGTTGCACATGGCTGTGTGTACCCTGGACAGGTCTATATGTGTAAAATGTAGCACGATATACAGCAGTGATCTGGAAGTTCTATTTTTAATCACTACAATAAAACAGTTGTGGTGCTTAAGTAAGCCTTGTTAATGGTCCTAAATTCCTATTCTAGGTCTGGTTATTTGCAAGCTAATGTGCATTTTGTTTTTAAAATGGCAACTTTATTTTTTTGTGGGTTTTTTTTTTGTTTTGTTTTATTGTGTTTTTTTTTTTTTCCTGAAAAACATCACAGCAGGAAAAAGCCTCAATTCTGATGCTGGACACTGCAGTTGTGCTGAAGACGTTTTGGTTTGTTTTCTATCTCAAGTGTAGCAGTTGTGACTGTTTCTGGGTACACATTCAGATCATTTTCCACAGTCACGCTTCAAGCAAATAAAGAAAATATCATTTTTTCTAATTGTGAGTTCATTTGTCTCAGGAGGGAAAAAAAAAACAAACTGCTGGGACTGACAGATTCTCTGAAATCTTGTTTTTTATTGTTTGATGTTTTTATATTTTTTTTTTTTAATCATCAAAGCTATGATTTTTTATTTTTTTTTTTCCTTCTGATTATGTACATTCACTGTCCATTAACTTGTGCTTGGGGAGCCATTGAATCTGTGCTGTCTGCTCAGGGGGACTGTGTGTATGGACTGTAAGTGGTATAGATGTAAGAGGAGTAACAGTCAGAAGGATACTGCTTTGTGCACGTAGTTCAGTATGAGTTTTGTCCAACTTCAAGTTTTTTGCTAAGTGTGGGTGTTTTAAGCAGCTGAACTTTGAATGGAATACTAATGATAATGAACACTTGTTGGCACTTGGAAACGGTTTCAGTTCTAACCATTGGAAACTGTATGTTCTCAGCATCTGAAATAACATTTCAATCTATTCTGTGGTTTTTGTTTTTTGTTTTTTTTCAGGAGAAAAAAAACAAATGCATGACTTCTATAAAGAAAGAGGATTAGAAGTGCCCAAACCAGGTGAGCTATAATCATTTAGAGGATGTCATTAAGGAGATACTTACTATCCCATTTATTTTTAGTAGTTTTCCTTGAAATATTAGCTCACAACTAAAGTAAATTTGTAGTGTTTGTAGGGAATGTGAGATTCAAGTTACTAAAGTAGAACGTGGAAAATAGCAACACTTAAACCAAGGTTGTGTTTGGGTGTTTTTACAGTTTATATTTTACTTTTGCCCAGGAAAGTTTGTTAAGTATGTGCTAATTGTATTTTCTAGCCCCTAATAAATATTATAAGTTAAGGAAGTCTAATAGGATAAGAACTTGAATGTCCATTGACAGGTGAGAGATTATCTTAGTTTTTTGTTTGATAGTAAGACAAAAAATATCTCTTTTGAGAATTGCTGTGCTGAAAGCTAACAAAATGCTGGCTCACATACACAGCAAGAAATGTATACAGAGCTGATTTAGTTTATTTAAAAAAAAAAAATAGGATGAGTGTCATGGGCACTTTTTCCCTTTGAGCTCATCCGTTTTGGTTGGCACATGTTAGCATCTTATTCTGTTTTTATTTCAAGCTGTGTTTGCATTTTGGCTGTTTGAATATTGTAGCTGTCCCACAGCCAGTTCCAGCAAGCAGAGGAAGACCTCGAAAAGTTCTGGGCTCCGTGTTCCGGATCCCACCAGAACTTGACATCTCAATACTGCTCGAATTCATTGGGTAAGTTGTGGACAAATGTATGGGCAAATTGCTGATGCGAGGGTTCTGCTCACGTCTTGAACTGTTTTGAGCTCTTTGTTTTCGAGTGTTTACTACTTTCATCTCAAGTAGCAGATGGGAGTTTTCAGCTTACTGTGTAATAGCAGTAGTCAGTTTTGCATATCTAGATGATGCAGATAAGATATTTAAGATGTCTTTTTATGAAAATAGATTTAAAAAAGCTTAGAGCCTTAAAATTTGCATTCCTTTTATTTTTTTTTTTTTTAAGTAGTGTAGTCTTGGTAAATGGAATAACCAAGATACCTGTCTCTTATGGTTCCTTCCACCCTGTAGGTGGTGGCAGTACTGTTAGTGATGACTGTACTAGGTCTTGGTCGTGTAACTAGGGGACTGCCGATGTACGTGACATTCTGTTATAGCCACAAAAAACTGTATTCTAAGGATGGCTCACCAGGCAGGGGTGTGGGGAAAGGGAAGCAAAGAAACATCTCTGAAATCACTGTGGTTGCAGTGTTAGTGTTTGGGCATTACATTTCCTACAGGGTAACAGCACGTGCAGATGAGTGACCAGAACGCTCTGGTCCTGGTTACAAATTTTAGAGTAACTCTGATATGTGCCTGGGGAGTCCTGTTTCTGCTTTGTTGAGTAATATAGAGCTCATTGTAGCTAAGATTTAGCAGTTCAGTATTTGCAGACAGTGTGCACAAAGCCACGGTGCTGCTTCAGTAAAAGAAATGTGTTCTTGATGGGATGTTTTCCAACATTTAGGGGTTAAGAGCATCTCTGACAGCGTGCTGGGAACTTGAGACCTACAATGAGTTTGTTAAATGTGATCAATGGCAGTTAGACAATTCACAGGAAATTTTATTCTAAATGTATCTGGCCAAGACAAGGTAGGAAACCTGAGCAGCAAGAGTGGCATTCCCCTAAATGTTTTAGGTGGGACTATAGCTGAAGCTTTTTTTATGGGACATCAACTTTAGTCATAGCTCAGGAAGGGGAAATTCCAGCCCAAACATTGGAGCTGTTTTCAGGAACATGGAAAGCAGGAATTGTATTGCTTTGCATATCTGCAAATTTTCACAACAGCGACTGAGAAATTATTATGCATGGAATAAAAGCTGCAACTACTGAGAGCACTGCACAGAACTTGAATTGATGGGAGGAAGTGACTTGATTCTTGTACAACACGTGCAGATGGCCTCTGCTTTTGGCCTGATTGTTGACACAGTAGAGATTGTGTCCTTGCCTTTTTGCTTCTTATGTCCAGTGTTTCTACTGTGTTTTCTTGAATTCAGAGTGCAGAGCTTTGATGTAGCTGTTCTGGCTTGGTTATTATTTGTGTTGCCCATCATGTGGGTTTTGTTGTTTTGTTTTGTTTTTTTTAAATCCTTTGGATAGCTCAGACAGGAGATTGCAGTAAGAGAAGTTTTTGAGCTAACTATCTGCAGAAGAATCCATGCCACTGCTATAGAATATGCTTTGATCTCCACTTAGTTGAATTCCGTGTTAGTTTTCTACCTGCTTGACTATCAGGAGCACTTTGTGCTCACGTGTACATTTTAAAGCAGTGAGAGTCATGACTAAGACTGTACTATGAAGTGTTCTGCAAACAGATTCAGTTTCAGATGTCTCAGATTGAGCACGTGCAGTCCTTTGTTATGCTTCAATGCAGTCTCTGTCTTAGATTCCTCTTTTTAAACAATGTATTACATTGCTGTTTTGTTGAGTAGGATGATGTGGAACACATCCCTGAGTTGGAAGAAGCGAGATGAGGAGGAAATCAATGGTTTTCTGTTATGAGCAGGATCATTACAAGTAAACCAAGAGTCATGTATTGTACAAGGAGAGTGAAGCAAAGACACGATTGTTCGGCGTGTGTTGTATAGAAAGCAGTGTGAGGGATGCTCGTTCTGGGACCTGTCAGGTAGCAGCCAGTGCTGTGCTGGCCCACCAGGTGGCAGAAGGAACTTGCTCACACCAACAGTGCCTTCACTTGAAGGTGTCCTATTGCCAGTTACCGTGTAAAATGACTTCAAATAACTGAAATTGGATTCCAGTTATGTCCCTTTCAGGTTGGGACACTGTTTCTTGATCACTGTGTGGAAAGCTTTGTTACGTTATCTTGTCTGCAGGATCAGATACAGTTTGAATTAATTGTGGTGAAAGTACTGTGATTTAGAGCTCCACTGTCATGGTTCCTGGTTACTCCCACTGTGGCCCTTGGTGATTCTCAGCAGGTACATTTTTCTTTTTTGCAGAGTAAGAAGAAATAGAAGGGTAATTTATACCTCAAAATGAATTAAACATTTACATGCCTGTGTGTAGAACAAGATGGCTTTTGAATCTGTGTTGCATTTGTTATTCTGGCAGGTTTAGGTCAAGTTTCTATTGTAGTCTAGCACCAAGGCAAGTGCAATTGTGCAAATACAATCTACAGTATGCAGAACTCTCCTCTGCTTTCATTACTTAGATGGAGTGGTGCCCAGAAAGATTCAGAAGGATATTGACTTAATGTCTGTTTTGCAATTTATGTTAAAGTTTTGGGGTTTTTTTTAAATGTTTGATCTTATTTTTATGTTTAAGGCTTAATCTGTTTTCTTCAAAGATCAAAATCAAAGAGCTTATCTTGGCAATGAGATGTTAAAAAAGCTCTTTGGAGAAGGGAAACTTGGAATAGATGAAACAATCCAGCAGTAATTGTTACTTTGTAAACTTTAAACTATGCATGTATTTAGATGTGTTAAACTATCTCCTGAAACAGTGGAACTGTATCAAAATAGCAAGAGTGGAAAAGCTTGTCTGTTTGCTTCCTGGTTACTTTACATTTCAATTCAGCAGCAAAAATTGGTAATGCTTCTACTTAAATCTGTTTGATAGCTAATTACAGTAATCTGAAGTGCCATGCTAATTTGTGGTCTGTACGAGCATTGCACATTTGTTTGCTCTATTAAATGGACAGTAGAAATATTGTCAATTTATAGTGACATTTCTTCTTAGCTCTCTCCAACACAGTGAAATACTGTATTTTACCTCTGTCATACATATGCACTTGCTAAAGTAATGCAAGAGTAGTGAAACATCATGTATTGAGCTTAATTCACTGAGAAATTTGTATACTGTGCTACGAGATGGGGATGCTGTATGTAGATAAGTGGGAGCTCACCTGCTCAGGCTGTGCAAATCAATGAACCTCCATTGTGGGCAGCTGGGAATTTGGTCATTTTCCACCTCTGTGTATGTTTGACCTGCCAGAGAAGTTCCTGCAGCTTTCCTGAGTTCCTAGACAGCATTACCAGTAATCTTGTAATTATGGTCTGGGAAGCACTGAAAGCCTCTTTGGTGTTTGAGTGTGTTCTGTCAGTAGCTTCTAGGAACTGTGCATTAAGGTTCCAACTGTTGAGGATGATGAAGTATGGATATTAAAAAAGCATTGATATTGCAACTTATTCCTATGAAAACTTATATTGCATGTAAAATATGGCTTTAGTGAGTATTGCTTTTTTTCATTTCACATAGATAAAGTTTATCCAAGTCCTAAGTAACTGAATTCAAAAGAAAGAAATGGGGTAGTGAGTGAAGGCTAGGAGAAGAAGATGAATAACTTTTGGCTAATGTTGTTTCATATACTTGATTTTAATGGAAGGAAAAGTCTGATTTTAAAAATGAGCTTGATATGCCAGGCTTACAATTTAATAGTAATTATAATAAAGAGCTTGAGGGTGTTACTAATTGTTAACCTTAGCAATATTGATTGTGTTTTCTCTTGTTTTTCAGAGCTAACGAAGGCACAGGGAATTTTAAGGTGCAGATGTGATTTGAACTTTTCTCTTACATGATTTACTTCAGAAATATGTACAACCTGAATGTATTTAATTTAGTTTGTCTTTATTTTTCTTACGTTGAGTACAGCCTGAACTTTTAGCAGCATAATGGAATACAACATATGTTCAAACCTGTTGTTGTATAGCATCACAGAGTAGAAAGTGAATGCTTCCAAGGCTGACGAATTAGATATGGCAGGAGAGTGGGAATGATGTCAGTGAAACTTCACTTGAGGAATTCTAGGTTATTATTCTTGCATTTCCTACCAAAAGGTGCATTACTATGGCTTTTCTTGGAATACTAGGCAGAAGTGCAGTCCTTCTCTAAAAAAGTTTTTTCACAGCTAGACATACTTGAAAGCTTGCCCAGGTTACTCAGAGGAAGCATTACCCAAGGTATAAAAAATGGTAACTTTTTCTACATGGTTGAAATTGCAACAAAAAACAATGCAAATTTTCTAGGCAGCACTTCCATAGCTTGCAGCAAACGGCTTTCCTGCATCCCTTCACTAACAAAGCTAGTTGTCTCAGCAGTGGCAGTTCTGATGAGTAAGAAATAGCATTCCTACCATCCTGAAAGGTATCTTTTCTGCTGTGCATCATTATACTGAACTGAATTGGTTGACATCTGTGGATGCACTGCTCGCTGTTTAATGCCTGCATTATTACATAGGCTGTAACTAGAGATTTGCAGAGTATGCTCTTCCACTATTTTGGCTAAACATCTAGAAAAGAAAAGTCTGTTCAGGGCAAGGAGGAGATGTAATTCAAAACAACACAGTGTATTTTGCATTTCATTGTTTTGGGGCTTGTAGGAATCAAAAGATGGAATGGCACAGAATAACAATGAGATATTTTGCTGCTAGCAGCACCAGTAAAACTCCAATTTTGCTCTATAGTGATTTCAATAGAATTGTATTGCTAACTGAAATATAGATTGTCCTAATTCATTTTTTTTTTTTACTGATTTCCTTTGTTCTCAGCTCAGTTGATTTCTAATCAATATGTTTTCAAGCACAAATCTGAAGTGTTGGATATGACAACAGTTATTTCTGGTACTTTTAAATACTAATGACACTTGGTATGAGAGAACTTGGGAGGCAATCTCAAAGTGTTAGGTAAATAAGATTTCATGTGCACAAAGTGTGAAAACTGAAGTCCAGTTTCACAAATAGAAGTTTTTCTATAGAACAGAAGCAGTATTTCTAAAAATGTACTTGCCAATTTTATTCACTTGTTTTTCCAAGCACCAGCCAGCATTTTGTATGTTCTTTTTTCTCCTTATCTATCACACTATTTTATTTTTTTTAATGTTCTTGTTTTTACATCACCTCCAATCCTTCATGTCTCCTATTTGCCTTTTTTTCTGTTGTTTTTTTGTTTGATTTTTGTCTTCTCCATTTTGGGCCTGCCACAAACGACTGTAGGGCAATTCAAATGTTTTATTAACCAGTGTTTTCCATTTATAAAATCTGTGTCAGGCATTTATTCTATCTGATATTCCTCATGCTGTTCCAGTAGGAATGGTTTTGCCTTTTAAAACATGTTTAGCTCTTAACATAATTAAAAAAAATGAATTAGTGACTCAGAAAAGGGATTTTGTGTGTATTCTTCCCTTTTAAGTAATAAATAGTGCATTTCCACTCAGTTTAATTCTAGTTCTCTGAGGATGTTGAAGGCCACAGGCTGCCCACCTGATCTCTCAGGGAATCATTGTGTGCTGCTCATAATGCCACCATCCATAGACTGAAGTGCCATTCTGCACAAGTGCCTATTTAGATTCCTGTATGTTCTTTATAGAAATATCACATCTTCTAACAGGTATCTTCTACAGCATTTCCAATTTTTTTTTTCCTGCATATTACCTCCCTGCTTCAATGTATTTTTTTTTCTTTTTATATCTTCCTGTTCTCTATTTCTGTTTCATGATCGAGAGGTTTACTCATCTACCTTCCAAGTCCCTCTCTTATCCATTTCTCACAAAACATACTCTAATTGCTTCTTGGTATTACTCTTTCCTCAATCACTTATTCAGAAAAAAAAGTTAGATTAGACATGGAATTAATGTATGAAAGTGTTTTTTGTTATTGTTTTGTTTTTTTCCCTGGGGTGGATTGAGAGAACAAGTTATAAGGCTCATGGCCATAAACCTTTGTGCACTAAGTGTAAACCTGGTATCGTCAAGCTTTCAGCCAGCTTAGGCTCTTACTCTGGTCCTATTGGCATTTCTAGCTGTTACATATGAATAAATCAAACTGTTGCTCCAAAAGTACAATTATCATGGATACAGTTATCATGGATAGATATTTTAATTCATGATTGAATTCAAGGGTAGGCTTTAGACCTCTCTGAGCTTTCTATCAAGTGTTTATTTTAATTCATTGTTTAATTAAGTGGTACTCTTTGACCCTCTGCTCTGACTTGTTTTTCAAATTGAAAGAATATGATGAAGCTAAATAGTAAACCACAACTGTTCAGAAGTTAACGTAAATTCAATTAACTGACACAAATGGGATCCATTTATCATACTGAATGCAGTCATCTGCTCTGCCTTTGTGCCCATTTGCTTAGCTGCCCATATTATCAGTCAGCTGTTCAAAATTTTATCCACAGACAAGAAACCCAATAAAATCTTTGAGGCTGACGTGATAAATGTACTCTTGTTGAAGTCCTTGCTAAGAAAGTATATGGAAATTATACGAAAAGCCCATTCTACTATTTTGGTCCTTGTGTTCTGCATAGTATTTTAAGTATTCTGGTATTTTATGGACTGTTAATTCCAACCCAATCCACAATACTTCTAACATGCTAAGCAAGTTAAGTTCCTTGCATTACGAAATGATAGCATTTAACTGTTTAAATTCATGTCTGATGTGCAAGCCCAACATGGAGAAAAGCAAATCTTGGGAAATCTCTCGTGCTTCTGAATAAATGCTTTTAGAAGCGGAGGGGGGTTGAAGGGAAGAGTTCTTGAAATGCTCTGTAATACCAATTTATGTGAATTAATAGGAAATCCCATTCTCCTTTATTTCAGTAGTGAAATAGGACTGAAGTCAATAGTTACTTTTAAGAGTTGTTTCAAACAGCAGAAAGTTTGAGTGCAGAATCTGTTAATACACAGTCCTTTCCCTGTGGGGTAATCTGGAAATAGATCCAAGAGAATTCCAAAGCATGAGCTGTCTTCTGCGATTAGTGGGCCTTCAGCTAGGTTGGGGATTGCCAGGAATGATGGCTGAAAATATACAGGGTCTTAAGATCATGTGTTTATTCTTTGCAGCCTTTGGAAAAGAAGTTTGTGCGTGTTTCAGGGGAGGCAACTATTGGACACGTGGAGAAATTCCTCAGAAGGAAGATGGATCTGGATCCTGCTTGTCAGGTACAGCACTTACAGTGGCACTTGCTAGTTCACCATGATCTAATGCCTATGCCTCTGTTGCTTGTTAATGCAGAAGTAGGAGGAACTCTCCAAATCAATTTGCAATGTGTTTAAATTATCATTATTTTGTGTATGAAGTTTCTATAGTGTCATGTAAGATTTCAGCAGGAGAAATTCAAAGCAAAGAATAACCTGCTGTTTCAAAGATAAAATTGAGTAGGTAGATGGGGAAGTGTATGAGTGTGAGAGGATATGAAGGCAGAAACTGAGAGAGGAGCAAAATGTCAGTAAAATCAAACTGTACATTGAAGGAAGCAAACAGGGTTTGAAAGTTGTGAATGGACATGTTAGAATGAAAAATATGAATACAAAGGTAGGCAAATCATTTAGATTTTGAGCCCATCTAATACACTAAACTTGAGATATATTTTTTTCTGTTCATTACTTTGAGTTAGGAGAAAATGAGGTTTATTTTAACATGGTTTTTTCTTTTGAAGTCATCCTGCATCATATTTGCATTCCTGCAGGTATGTGTGTAAACTGCAGCCTGTGGGGTAAGATTGGAAGAAAGTCTGTTCTCATACAGTGCCGTTGCTGATGCAGCCTCTTAGTGCCAGTCTTATCCCTTGGAACAGATGTTTCTGGTACCTTAGAAAGGCAAATTGCAGGTTTTGAATAACTCTCCCAAATACTCATGGTGACCTCCAAAACTGTTTTCTTTGTCCTTCCCTGGGTTGTCATAGAAACCATTGATTGAGATCTAGTGCTTTCTAGGTCAAATTTTCTCTTGGGGTTGTCCCTTATACGACCATTTTCCTTTTTAACTTCATCTTACTTGGTGAGTATTAATTTGTAATTGCCTGTTACCATGTTCTTGTGGGGGAAGTGGCTCTTGAGTGCAGAAAACATGTCACCTAATAGATGCCCATAAAGACTACTTTGTTTTAATCAGATTTTTGAAGTTGTGTTTGAGTTAACTAGCTGCCCATTCATTTTTCCCTTAAGCAAAAGGCCAAGCTGTATTCAGTGCTGTCTCACTTGTCAGTGCTGTTAGCTGACAACAGTTTTACCAGCTTGTCAGGACTAAAGTAGACTCACATCACTTATGTTGCTGGTGCCTCTTTCATAACAGAATATAGTAATTTCTCTAAGGCACGAGGATTCCTTAGAGACATGGATTTTGCAACTGATTTCCGCACTGACCTCGGATTTTTCTTTTGTGGCTTTTTTTTTTGTCATTACAGAATGAATCGGTGTAACAATTAGCAGGCAGAAATTCTGGCTGTGGTGCTAGAGTGAGAGGATTAGGAAATAACAATGAGAGCATGTGAGGAGGTGAATGTGGGGAAAAAAAAATCTGTTAGAAGACACTGAATCTTTAATAACTGCTACTTGAAACTGGGGCAGCAAGAGGGTCAACTATGGGATATTTTGAATCAAGAATTCTCATTCTGTTTTGAAAGACAGTCAGCAGTTGCCACCTTGTTTACATCCTACATTGAGAAAATAAATATTTTTTTCTCTTTCTACAGAAAATATAAAGTGTGCATGTAAATATTTATATCAGTGAGAACAAGATTGAATTTTCATTTACAGTATGAAAATTGCGAACATAGCTTTTAAAGGAGAAGTCATTAAATTCATACATCACTGGAAAACAAGGCAGGCAAGTCTCTCCTCCTATAGTAATAACTGTAGAGGCTAGAATGCCAGGGAAACTGGAGAAATAAGTGAAAACCACTAAAAAAAAAAAAGGCAAAACAAGATTCGAGGTATTTAACAAACATATCCAACTATGTATGTATTTTTTATATATATGATATCAACATTTAATGTTACGTCCAGATTGATGTTTACTTGCCGGCTTCTTCCTGGAAGCTAAAAGCAGAAATAATACTAAGCAGTTTATATCATGTGTGCTTTCTGGAACCAATATTTAAGATTTATTCTATTAGAAATGGAGTATTTCACAACATTCTCATAGTATATAAATGAATTTATCTCTAAGGATTAGAATTCTGTTGTTCCCAAAGCTAAGAACAATACAGTCTGCAAGCATGAGACACAAATGTTTCTAAATTTTTTTCATGAAGAGTAGGAGAGAGATGTCAGTGTGCAAAGGAGTGTATGTGCAGACAGACTGAGCAGCTGAAGCACAAAGTGTAGTGGGAAGTGGCTGTAAAACCATGGAAGAGGACAGGTAACAATATTGCAGTGTATACTCCCTGACCACTGTAGTGGCAAAGCAAAAACTTGTCCCTCCCTAAAGCTACGTAACAACATGCTGACAATGCTTTTATCTTTGAGGTTTGATCATTGTAGTACAAATGAAAGCCCTCTCTAGGAATTGCTGAGAATGAGAATATAATAAAGCTGCAGTTGTGAGAGGAAACAGTGCTGGATTGGTTGCTTCTAATAGAGAAGCTTATTTTTTTGTAATAGACAAGGTGAAAGGAATCTGGAGTGCCTCACTATGAATCTCTTTTTTTTTTCCCCCAGAGTAACACTTCTTGTGCACAGCTACTTAACAAAAGTGCTTTCTCTGGAATTGCAGATATTGTTGATGTAGTTAAGCTGCAGTTGAGGATGTTATTTAGGATTGCTGAGTATGCCCGCTTCTTCCATCACACAAACATTGATTACATTTTAAAGAAGGACTGTGTGAGAAGTACTTGCTGACAATACTAGTATACTACTGGTATACAGTGAGCTTAATGTTTGTTATTCATATCTTTCTTCCAAGCAGTCTTAAGCAAACTTACTCATGTGTTCTGTTGCTCAGAATAGGAGTGAGGATAGTACTGGCCCATTATTTGCCATAAGCACCGACAACTTGCACTTTTTTGCAGATAATGAATGACTCTGGGTGTTCGTGTTGATCACTTTAATATTTAAATATAACTTCCTATTTTATCCATCACAGCTATTCCTAAACGGTTTGGGTTTGTTTCTTTTTGGCAGTGGGCTCACCCAAGTGAAAGTGAAGCAAACTATCTTCTCCATTCCAGAAGTAAGCCCCAACTTGGGGGATGGAAGGGAGCTTTAGGGCAAAGCATAGTGTTGTGCATGCTAAATGCATTTTGACAGCAAAGTTAAAGATTTCTGTAGTGTCAGACATGCTATGGTGGAATTCTAAGCAGCTTTAGTTTTACTTTATGAACTATCAAATTTAAATGGCTTAGATATTGTCCTGCTAGACCAAAGTCAAGTTAAACTTGACAATGTTTGTGTTCTTCCACAGGTAGACATAATATGTGGTGATCACCTGCTAGAGCACTACCAGACACTGAGGGAGATCCGGCAAGTCATAGGAGAGAGTGCTGTACAGGTATGTGTGGCAGCTGGGGCTTTGTGCTGTTTTAAAATAGGTTAAGAAATATTCTATCAGGTAACACCAACTTAACAGAAGAAGTTACTTACAAAAACTTTCATCTTATGCAAATTGTTCTTTATATTGTAAATGTAGTTGAGAAATATATCAGGTAACAGAAGTGTTCTCGACGGTTTGAGAATGTTCTGGGTACAAAATTATTCTATTCTGAAACAAGCTGCTGTCTTACCAGTGATACAGCCATTCTTTTAAGTAACATTTCTTGTTTTTCTTCCTGGTGATTGCATCTCTGCTGCAGATTATCAGAGTGCTGAAGTATCCCACATAAGGCCAAGGATAACCTTGAGTCTGTACAAGGGATTATCAGGGGAACAGTTGCTCATAAAAGCACAAACCAAAGATGCATGATAGTAAGTGCAGTTAATGTCCTTGATGCATATTATACAGGTCCTGATCAGAGCTTCAGGGTAGCCAACTATTTTTTTTATCAGTAATTTACTATGTTAAATGCTGCTGGCTCTGCAAGTAAGAAAACCTTTTATTTCCTTGGGAATCTCCAAACATCTTTATAATGGCAAGGGTCACACCATTTCATAAGTACAACAAAGCCAATGAAATAATCTCCGCAGTGCTTAGTAGGATATAGAAGTAAAACCATGTTGTGTAAATAGCATATTAATCCTAACCTGGCAGTTTGAACAAATTTTACTGGTTCATCAACTACAGTGGGGATGAATGGGGTTTAGGTTGGTATTGTATTTGGAAAGCAACTTAAGTAAATGACACAGAAGTTAAATTAGCACATTCAGTCCTCATGACTTATATGTCTGTGTGCACTCACAATCCAGAACACTTAAATTTCATGTTGAGCCCTTTTATGCTATAAGAGGGATTCTGTGTCAGAGGCAATGGGTGGAAAGCCAGTTTCAAGGTGTCCTGGGTAATGCAGCACCTGTACCTAATTTGACTAACAAGGTGTGATCCCATAGTCAGGGCAGATGATACAGATCATGCTACTGGCAGAAAGTGAAAGTCTTTAAGGCTTGTGGTGCATATTATGGCTTCTGCAGCCAAAGGAAGTTATGTCAAACTTGATGTCTTGGCTGTTCATCTAATAATATGAAGAAAAACTTCAGATTTAACCTAACCCACATTAGGGAGTATAGAAACTGGGAGGAAGAAACCACTAGTAACAAACACACTTCTGACATAATGAGTTTATGGTAAGTACAACATGGAGCAATCAACAAAAATAGTGATGGAAATACTCTATACTAAAAAGCTTCAGGAAATAGCAGGAGAATTATTAACTGTATGTAGTTATTTATTTTGTCATTGCACAAAATCTTTTTATGTATGAAAGTGCTCTTGGGAAATGACTGTAATGAAAACTGTTTTGTTTTCATTTCTTATCAGAAAGTGGATCTTCCTGATTGAAGTTCTGTGTTTGTCATGGACATGGGGAAATGGTTTTAAGTTGAGGGAGGGAAGATTTAGGTTGGATGTCAGGGGGAAGCTCTTCACAGAGAGAGTGGTGAGGTGCTGGAACAGGCTGCCCAGAGAGGTTGTGGATGCCCCGTCCCTGGAGGTGTTCAAGGGCAGGTTGGATGGGGCCCTGGGCAGCCTGGTCTAGTATTAAATGGGGAGGTTGGTGGCCCTGCATGTGGCAGGGGGTTGGAGATTCATTGATCCTTGTGATCCCTTCCAAGCCTGGCCATTCTGTGCTTTCATGTCAAAATAGGGTCTTCCTGATTGATGTTCAGTGCTAAGCACCAGTCAGCAACTCCACAAAGAGTACAGTTGTCTAAGGATCTGTTCTCGAAGGGTATATCAAATCTCATTATTACAAAATAAGTGTGCTAGTAATGATTTCTAGCAAGCCTGCTCTCTTGGGGAAAACAGAAGGAAGATCTTTGCTTTCTACAAAGTCCTGTGTTTTCACTAGACCTAAAATTCAATGGTTTTCTAGGTCCAGTGAGACTGCAAGTACGCAGGAATGTTTGGCAGGTTTTTTATGTTTTTTTTTAAATTAAGCTCGGGGCATCATCATAACCTTCCTGCCTCAGCAAACCAGTATTGCTGGAATTGTTCCTAACAGCTTTCACTAGGATGTTTTTCAGAACTGCCATTGTCATTGACCACGTTCTGATATTCATTGTAGATTATTCACACTGAGAAAATAGCTTTCATAGTTACTTAAACAGAGTAGTCCTTTCAGGGAGTAAACTTGGGGTTTGATTTATTAAGTACAGTTACTGTGAGAGGAGAAAAGTAACTGTTTTGAGTCCCATTTTTTTTTCATGTGCATGTTCATTCATGTCAGCAGTTACTCTTTTTGCTGAGGAAAAGGAGTTTCAAAAATGCAGGTAAGTTTCACTTTGCCAAAGGCAGAAATTTAAACAAGCATTCTTAGCCAGTGTTTTCTGAACTGGGCTGTAAGAGCTGTGATCTAATTTAATTAGTGTGACCCTCTAGCACACATCTGCCATGGAAGTTGTTTTTTTTCTTTTACTCTTTTTTTTGTGGGAGTATTGAATGTGGAAAGTGGGGCACTTCTTGTTACTGCTGCTCTTACAACTTCAAAAGGTGCGTATGCCATGATGTTTCTGTCAGTCAACTCACTCTAACACTTATATTTGGATTTAACAGGTGGAATCCTTTTCAATTTAGGTCAGGTTCACAAATGTGTGGCAAAAAGCCCTAGGGGCAGGAGCTGCTGTCAGAAGAGCTCGTACTTTCCTTTTCTGTTGGACACATCTGAGTACTCTGATTTGAGATCTGTAATAAGCAGTGAGGTCTCCTTCTCTTTGTTATTCTATCTCTAGAGAAAGCAGTTGAACAGACACAGAAATGTATAATACCTAGAAAGTGAATAAGTACAGGGTAAGCAGTGCCACTGTGGGGCCATATCTCAGCTTCTCTTTGTGCAGAAGTAGTTGCAGTGGGTTTGGCATTTGATTTGAGAATGGTATTTCCCATGTAAGTAAGTCATTAATCAAAAAACGCACTGTAGCATTTCTGTCTTGTATTTCTTTACTTTAAGAAAAGTTTCCATAGAGGAAAAGCTGTGTTGATCACAGTTTTCCAAAAAAAAAAAAGGAAGTTAGTCCTCCATTTTCCCTATAGAAGTAGCCAACGAGCAGCAAACATACCTCTGTGAAGGTATAATGACACTCTGTGCCAAGAGGTTGATAAGTGACTTTGAAGTATCTAACACAAAGTGAAGACAAACAGGATCCTGTCTCCACGTTACAACATAGTCATCCCACTTTGTTAGGCACTGAGTAAATGAGGCAATGGAAGCTCCTTCTTCCTCCCATATCTATTTGAATTAGTAATGAATTTCCATTTACTAACAGAATAAAAAGATGAAGGAAAATAACCTGGCAGTACTAAAAGCAGCAGTGAAATAGGAGGTTTCTTGCATTCTCATTCATTAAAGTTAAGATTGGTTGGCCACTGCCCTGCACTGAGGCCCTCTTTTGTCAGCATCCTTTTAAGAAAAGTGAAATGGCTGCATGAAATTCACAGTGCGTATTTGTTGTTGCTTTGAAGCTGTTTTTATCACCTGTTGTTATGCAGTTACCTGCCAGAACTAAAGACAATAAGAGTAGAAGAGAGAGTTAAACACGCTCAGCTGCAGTTATTTCTTTCTTTGTGGCAGTGGAAGCAAAACAAAGCTATTTTCTAATAAGCAGACATCTTTTAGACAGAACATCAGGGTGTTGGTAGGGGCTGTGTGAGAATAATTCCTAAGGGAAGAAAAAGAATATTTCATGGAGGTGTGGACAAGGGCATCTACTCACCTGCATCTGAGATCGATTTCCTGCAGTGCAAAGTGACTCGGGTCAAAAACATTTTTATACAGTGAATGAGCTTTTAAATATTTAATATTTATATTCTTCCAAAACACTGTTTAGACCACTGTCATACTTCATGTGTCCTGTAGTATAATGCAGCAGTGGCATAAAGTGAAGACAGTCTTGGTACTTTTTTTAATAAAATTGGAATGGTCTTTATGTGGCCTTTAGATCTTTAAAGTTTGTGTTGCTGTGATGGTTTGTTTGTTTTTAAAAATGTGCCCCCTCGCACTGAATTACATAACTTCTCTGGAACATATATTGAGTCCTAAGGTTAATGGCTAAAAACATCAAAAGTAAAATATGGTAGGAAATGTTAATATGTTGTCTGTGATTAATGTGTTTCTCTCTTCAAAAGAAAACATTTATTAAAGCCTGTCTACATAATTAGTTCTAATGCAAGTCAGATCCCTGGGGGATCAGGAGTGGGAACAGGTTTCAGAGGTGGAAGAAGACTAACTACTAGATCTTTCACCAGCTGTGCAACTCAAGTTACATAAGTAAGATTTATTGTAACGAGTCAGGAAGTATTGTCTTGCAGGTGAAATGGTTTTTTATTAACTTCAGCAGAAGCACAGGGATTTAAACAATGTTGTTCATCAAGAAGTAGGATGTCATGGTAAGCTGGCAGTGTGGCTTAACGAAGCTGGTGGAATTATTTGAATGTATTACTGACATATGCAGGACTCCAGCTAACTTGTAGAAATGTAAAGACAGTGCTTTTGTACTTCAAAAAAAAAAAAGAGAGAAAAAGTGACTTGATCTTTTTTGTTGTCTTTCTATCTTAATCCCAATTGTCAACAGTGACAGAGCCACTGAACAGTAAGCTGCAGCAGCCAGTAAAGGTACTGAAATTAGCATTAGGAGTTGGAATCCAAGTTCTGTGCAACAGGCAACAACGTTTCCTTCTTCTTCCTCAAATGTCTGTTTGACTTTTGGTGCCTAGAGTTAATGGCCAGAATTTGGTAGCTGCTTCTAGAACTATTTAATGAAGTTATTTATTCTGCCTTGCTGTGTCATATGGGAAATGAGGTATAAAAGTAAAGTGAGAGGGGGAAGTTTTTTATCTGCTTTGGTATTTTATAAAACTTGTATCCCTGTTACGAGAGGGGGAGTGCAATGGAATGAGTGAGATTGAAACCACGCTGTGGCTGCCACACCAGGCAGTGATGGGAATGCCTTGTGGAGAAGGCAGAGTGATCCGATAACACAGTTTCTCTCCTCTCTCTAGGATGGCTTGCTTGTGCTGCACTATGGCCTGGTGGTATCTCCGCTCACCATTCCTTAGATTGCTACACTATCAGCTATTTATGTGAAAGAATCCAAAGTCATGAAGCTCCTTCACTGCTGTTTCTCACCAAAGAACGCCATCATGTTTTCTGTGACAGGAAGCAAGTAGAAGAAACTATCACTGACTGCTGTATGCTTGTAACTTGCATCTGACTTTAGCACTGTTTTTTGTTTGTTTGTTTTTTAAGTGTTCAGTACATACAGCTATCAATTTTCACTTAGCTCAGGGACTTTAAATGCTCAGAGTTGCTGCATTTCTTTAAATAATTCTTAAACCCACAAGATCTCACAGGGTAAACAGGCTTTTTCCTTAAGCTATGGGATTTTGCTTACTTCCTAAGTGTCTAGCTAGAACAGTATTCTCAGGGATGATCTTCAGTGGGCAGTACACTGTATTCTGGGGTGGAAACAGTCATAGGGTGCAGAAAAGCTTGTAGTGATCATCTGACTTCAGATGTGATTCAGGAGAGGAAGGAGACTCTTCAAATGGAGACCAAAATAGGTAGGAAATGATGTCTCACAAACTTTATTCAGTTGTTTTTCTTGAAGAAAAACAATTTTGATTGCACTTGAAAAATATTTGCTGGTAGTTTGACTTACATCAAGTTGTGGGTCACGCATCTCTAGTCTGAATGGAGGTGAGCTGGCTGTAAGCTGGTTAAACTATGCATGGAGGGGGGAAAAAAAGCATCACCTCGTTCTACCTGCTTGCTGTATTTTAAAATAGCCTAATTCTGCTGTCGTGTAAAATCTGTCATATGACTTGACTAGCAGGAGCACAGTTTCCTTCATTCCAGCACACAGCTTTCTAGCAGTAGTGAAAAATGGTAGCTTTTTCCACTCTTCCCAGCATGTGTTAGTGAATTGTAGTGGAGAGTGGGTCTGAAGGGTTAAATAGCATAGTGTGTGCCTCTTCATACTGCCTTTATGGAGGGTAGTAGGTAACATTTTTGTTCATTTGTTTCAACATATTAAATTACTGGGTTTTGGGACAGCTGTAGTATTCCAGTTCTGTCCTGTTGAACTTTTTCATGGTCTCTTGTGCAGCATTAAGGAACAGAGCTTTCTGTGCAGTGCTCTTGCTGCACGTTCTGTCTTATGTGTGGGGATTCATGAAAGCCACTGTTAAGAACCAGGCTGCCTCTATAGTCAGCGTAGTGAAGGGAAGAAGATTCCTTAGTGAGGCATTTTAGAGCACTTAAGTTAGCTCAAATGTGTTTGCTTACTGTCCTATTTGCTGCAGTGCTGTCAGCATACTAATACTGGCATTTCTTGTCTAAAGAAAGCTTTCATGAATCCTTCAGCTCTTTACAGAAAGTGTTAAGTTTTGCCTGTGAGGGCAACACCACACACAAAAAAAAAAGTCTTATTTGAAGTAGTTCTTGTGATGCTTCTAAAAAAAAAAAAGAACAAAGACATGTCTAACTATAATTGCCTATTTTCCCTTCGAAGTTTGTACAAAAGTAGTGTTTAAAATACATTAGAAAATTGATTGAATTATTTTGTAAAGACTTTGTGAGTTGTGTTGATAAGAGACTATATATTGTAATGGTAAAATAAAATTTATTTTAGCCAATTTTAAATTGAACACTTGTTTCCATTTCATCTTCCCTTTTGTCAGCCTCTAAGTTGTAGCAGTTCAACATTGAAAGTGCTGGATGTGCCCTGGTGTTGCTAGGATCACACATTTCAGTGAGAAAGCTTAACTATGAAAGATGGTTTAATATCAGAATGTCTACTGGAGCTAACTGGTATCATTACCTGGAATAAAATGAAATCTCAGATGAATTATCAACACAGATACAGGACAAATAATCCTGTAATGGAGACATCATTAAGCCCCCTGTGAACCAGGTCTTTCTCTGCCACTCTGATGATCACAGCTGTACACAAGGTGACTGGCTTGACAATACTGCCACTTCTTGTTTCATCACTACTTACTGTTTTGTTTTCTATCTGTAGCTCTATTATAGTTGTGTTTTATGTTGCAAATTCTTCCCTAGTCTGGGCTCAAACATCATGCCTATGAAAGGGCTTTGCAGAGTTTAACAGGCATACAGAAGCTGATAGTTAATTCAAATTTATGTCTGTCTAGGATAATGCTGGCTTTTGCATAATCTAGCTAAACCATCTGCTAAACTGGTACTGTTCTGACTGAAGCAGTAACAGTATCAGAGGTCTCTGCACTATCTTTACAGAGTTTATCCATAGAGTAAACCATGTACCATTTAAAATGAAAAAGTCAAGACTTTCCAATCTTCCAGTCACTTAATGATAGAAGATCTACAGGTAGAATGCATAAAACTGCATTCAGAAACAGGAGTGTTGCCTGGAATATTTTGTGTGAGCCCTTAGTGATGTTTTATTTCCCAATAATTTATTGTCTGCTTCTTTCTTTCCCTTCCTCAGCTGCCTCCATACAGCATATTCTTTGCAAAGTTGTCTTGGCTGAACGTTTTGCTTTCTTCTACCTTAAAGTGTACCCTCAAGGCACTGATGCTTTACCTGCTCTCCAGCTCCTGCTGCACCCCCTGGGGTTCTGCTGTGACACACCAGTGTGCAGTGGGGCTGACCTTTGGCAGTTGTCGAGGCTGAAATGTGGGCTGTGCAGTTCCCCACATAATCAGCCCGCTTGCTTAAAAATGTGCCAATCTTCTTGCAGCTCTGCTGCTGCTGTTTTATTTCTGTTGGTCTCCTTTTAACCTTGGCTTTCCTCCAGCCGCTTGTGGTTCTGATGATAGAATTGCTTCTGTAACAACAGGCCGCCTATGGGATGGCGTCTCTGCCCTTGTGGGAGATGAGCCAGCCTCGTGCTCAGGAGGTGAGAGAATGTGGGCTTGGACTTGTGTGTTGATTTACAGACACTGTATCATTTCATTGCGTGATGAAATAGTTCTGGTCTTATTTTATGGTTACCTATTTAGAGATGACATGGCTGATGCTGAGCTTACAGTTCTGCTGACTCCTAGCGGAGAAGACTGAGCTGTGATGTCAGGAGCTCTCATAAACGCACAGTCAAGCTGTGGTCGAGTCATGAGCATTGAGCCATGTAGGTTCTGTTTTCCTTGTGTTTAATCTGGATTTAGTGTAGTATGGTAAGTTTCAGGAGACTAATAAAACTTGTAGCTGGAGAGAGTGTGATGGTGATGTGTAAATATTATTTATTTTCTGAATATTGCTGTTACACTTGGACCTGAATTGTGCTGCCACAAGACGAGCAAAAAGAAGCCAGGAAGTGCCTTAACACTTGTTTCCAAGTTTCCAAAGATACAGAGCAGCCAACAAGCTTCACTAAAAAATCCTTCCAGCTGTCTGTTACTGTGTATTATCTTTTGCTTTGCAGGGAGGAGGGACAGATTATCCACACAAGTCTCAACAGAGAGAGGTTACCAGGTGCCAACCTGAATGTTTATGTTTAAAATGCTGTTGTACTGCTGTGATGGATACTTCTGGGAAATGGAGAATGTTGCAAACAGTACCTTCTCATCACTAGCTTTTTTCTTTTTTTTTTCTCTATTACATTTTTCTGTAACCATTTCAACACAAAGAGAAGAAAGGTAAGTTGAATTTTGCACGTCATCTTTGGAATCTCTCCTGAAATGAGAAATGAGCCAGCAAATCTTACATTTGTTTAAGTTTCAGAAAGGGACCATACATGCAGGTCAGCTGGTCAAATTCTGTTGTTTTCTGAGATGAATAGTAGTTCCTGCTGTGAAATGTGATACTGATGTACTGCTTTGCGGCTGCAGAATTCCTGTGAGGCTGTATCGCCATCTTTATTGTGTTTTGATTTAGTATGAATATATATTTGTGCCAAAGCAGTAGTGATCTGCAAAAGAAACATTTCCCCAAGCGGAAGGGAGATTCTATATTTTCTACTTGCTTGATAAAACAATCAATTTGGAAATGTAAGTCTTAGAACGTCTGTTTTCTTCCAAGGGAAACATTACCACTAGAAAAGGGAATGGTGAGGATTTGGCAGAGATTATGAAGAAAATAACATGTTCTTGGGTGAGTTGCTTTGCAACTCTTCCCATATGTTGCTGAGAAGGCACCAAGCAGTTCCATGATACCACAACATGCTCAGAGCCTGCTGCTTGCAGTATGCCTTTCTGGAGGTGGTCCTTTCTTGTGTACAATGAGGACTGAGGTAAGAATTCCCTGGGTGGGAATCCTAACATCCTCCGTGCTCTGCAGGGTACGTAAGGGCAGGCAGTTGGCAGGGTGCTGCTGTGGTCCTCTTTGTAAATGCACGTATAGCAGCACTGGTAACAGTACCTATTACCAAACTAAGTATTTTCCTTCTGAAGTTGTGTTTAAAATTTTGTCTAATGATAAACATAGGCGCTGAATTTGTTCTGGCTACCAGTTGTTCCAGCTGTAAGTAGATCCATCTGTGGAGAGTTTCATCAAAAGCAATCAGCTGCATTGACGAAATGAGTAGTTAGGAGGGCTTGTTTGTTTGTTTTTTGTTTTTTTTGGTTTTTTAAATCCTATTTCATGTTCCTCTCTGCTTTAGCTAGACTTGCATTGCTCATGCTGTTAGAATACTAACTTGAATTCAGAGAGTCAGGTCCCACAATGCAGACATCTGATCACTCTGGCTGCTGGCATTAAGGGCTGTGCATAGGTAGCTCACTTGAGGATGAAGCTCTTTTTGCAGAGGTCTCTGCTAAGAGCTGGCAAGAAGAGAATGGGACAGATCGAGGCCTAGGTGCCAGAAGAGGCTTTTCTCTAAATTGCCATTGATTCCTTCTTGTGGAATAACAGGCTTCTTCCCCAAAGCCTCAAAATGAGGTGTTTTCCCTTTGTAGGAATGCAAATGCTTATTGGGTTTTCCTTGGCTTGTTTTCCTTTGGCTTAATCCTTAATGGATTCCAGCATCTAAACAAGTGTAACTGACAAAACTGTTCCTTGTGCATAGTGGTTCTCCCAGCGTTTAAGGTGCTGTACATCTCAGCACAGTTACTGCACAACGTCCAGTGGTGCTGAAGGGATCCTGAATCCAAGATCCTGAAGGAAACAATCTCTTCCATCACTGAAGCAGCAGGAATATGACCCAGGCCTATCCCAGGCTGCATGAGCTGTCCCATCTCATCCTCATGGAAATGAAATGAGACAGTAAGCCACAGAGTGCAGCTGCAGGGCCAGTGTTTTCTTCCAGGAAAATGCAATTCACCCAAGCATGTGGCAGGAGCTTGCACCCCTGCTTGGGGCTGACGTTCTCCCCAGCATAAATATAAAGGCAAGGCAGCGTGACAGAAGAACAGCCGCTCAGTGCTGCTTCCCAGGCAGATGGTACAGTCAGTGTCTGCAGCCGCCTTTTATTGAGAGGTTGTGGCTTTGCAGAGGTATAAATCTTTTAAGCAGCTGCAGTGTTCTTCCAGCAGCCTGAGAGTTTAACCCAATAAAACACTGGGCTGCAGCAGAAGCCCTATTCCAGCACCACAACCTCCTCAGAGATCTGGAAATGCAGGAAATCTCCGCTGCAGCCCCATTACGAAGAGCTGCATCTGGTTCCAAAGCAATGCCTTGTCCTCCCCCAGGCTCCTTTGTTCTCCTCCATGAATGCAGGCCCTCCACATCATTACTACCAAAGCAAATCCCAGCTCTGCTGGCAGCATGCAGCCAGCTGAGCAGGCAGGGAACTGGACTGAGGCTTAGAATAAAGGACAGGTCAGGCCCTTTGTACTCAAGGGGCAGACACAAAGCTGCTCTGAAGGACATCTGAGTTTCAGGTTTTTATTGTATCAGCTGCCTGATCCCATCTGCCTTCTCTTCTCCCTATGCCTGCTGGCCCATGGGGATGCTGGTGACCAGCAGACATCCCAGTGTCTCTGGGATGGCTGAAGCAGGCTTTGGTGAGGTGGCAGGAAGTGAAAGAGCTGGGACACCCCGCTATGTCAGGGCCACCAGTGGGACACTGCCTCCTGTGCTGCTACCTGCAAGGCCCTGTTGGCAGCTCTGTCCCTGCTCTCACAGGGTTTGTTTGGGAGATGGGTGCATCCTCTGCTCTTCTGTTAACTTTGCTAAGGCATAGATTGTGTCACCTTCAATTGGCCGTGCAAACACAAGCTGTTTGTAACCCCTGAGTGCATGGAGGAGGCGCAACCAGCCATCTTGTGATATAATCTACAGCCTCAGTGTTCATTTTTGGGGCAAGCAAGGGCAATCCCTGCCATGGGAGGCCTTTCTCTCTGACTGGGCTGCCACAAACTCCACAAAATGTGGCTACTGCGGTGGACACCTTGAGATGAGATCGGTACATATCCCATGGCTTTAGCAGTGCCGGCCCTGCCTCCAGAGAGCTGCAACCCAATGACAGGAGCAGCTTTATGGGGTTTTCCCTGTCATGAAGTTCTTTCTTGTCTGCCAGTCTTTATGAGACCTTGGCCGTGGGGTCCATCACTGAAACCATCATGGACAGGATATCCTTGATCATGACTATCTCGTGGGATACTATCTCCCTGGGAACAGGGAATGGCCTGAAACTGTGCCTGGGAGGTTCAGGTTGGTTGATAGGAAAGATTTTTCCTCAGAAAGACTGTAGAGGCATTGGCACAGGCTGCCCAGGGAGGTGGTGGGGTCACCATTCATGGGGGTGTTCAGGAACAGTGGAGATGTGGCACTGAGGGATGTGGTCAGTGGCATGGTGGGGATGGGCTGGGGTTGGACTGGATGATCTTAGTGGTCTTTTGCAACCTTAATGTTTCTATGATTAATGGTGCTGCACACCATGTGAAGCAGGAGGAAAGAAGACAGAAGAGCTTTGTTTGATTCATGTAACTCTTTCTTTCTTTTTAATTATTAACTTGTGCCTTACAGTAGAAGAGGAAAGAGTGTGAGCGAACAGTTTGCTGGTTCCAGGAACTACTCTGGCAACACTGAGAGGGCAGTAAGGTCTTGTGATGGCAACCTCGCCCGGGCACTGACATGTAGCACACACACGCAGTCTCTGGCTCTTGCAGAAGCTGGAAATTTTAAGGCATTGAAAGAAACCTACAGTTGTAAATCCTACATCAGATTTGGCACATGTTGGAAGGCTGGAGCTCAAGTGTGGATGTGGCATTTGGCAGCACCCAGCCCTCCCTGCTGTACATGGAGATGGGCACTGGTTGTTGGTTCCCAACCAACAAACCCCATGCAAGTGGCCAGACTAATGCTACCGAGAAACAGAAAGAGTTGTCAGAACGAAAAAAAAAGACATTCCTTATAGTTTAAAATATAAGTGGCTCACAGACCAGAAGCAAGGTGTGTTTATGGCTATTTCTGTGCTTCTGAGTTAAAAGTGGATGGCTACACCTTGAAGAAGAGGAAACACTTTAGCTACACATGGATTTGGACAGTAGGTAAAGGGCCTTAACCCTAGTTGTAGTTGAGTTCCACTGACCTCACCACCCCCACCCCCTCATTGCAGTGAGTCCTCTCCTCGCTGCCACAAATTCCCGTGCACCCACAACACCCACCAGCATGCACCCAGCGACCCGTGTGGCCGCCGCCTGACTTGAGAGGGAGCAGTGTGCTGAGCTCGGCCCTTACTTTGCCAGAGGCTGCTGAGCCCTGACCCTACAGGAGTCCTTGTAATCGGAGCTGCTGAGCACAACGCAGTGCCCAAGAGGCAATTAAAGGGCCAACTGAAGACTGCTCCCTCCCAAATGCAAAAGGGATGGGATCCCCACCATTACACTTTAGCATTTGCAATGATTCCTCCACGCACGCTGAATCTCTCTGTTTTCTTGGCAGTGGTTATGCTCCTGTCAAGCATCCCAGCCTGACCGGACGGTATCTTGGAGGTTGCTCTAACCGCCTCTCTTTGCTCCTCTTTCTTGAAGGATGGAGTGGAGGAGCGTGGCTGGAAAGAGTAGGTGGGGTTGGGGAGGGGGTTCATGGCTGGAAGGCCAACGCTCCCCATGCTGAACAGGTTTTCCTCTCCCTCCAGCAGCTTCCTGCAAGCACAGCACAAGCAAAGGAGTTTAGGTGGGGGTCACCTCACAAGACACCATCACAGCACCAGGATGCAGCTGATTTGGATGAAAACAGACCCAGGTCCGATTTTGGTGCCGGGCTTGGCAGCATGGGGAAGGGTGTTGAACTGGGCTCAGACAGGGCCAGAGCAGCCTACCTGTAGGCAGCGATCTCGATATCCAGGGCCATCTTGACATTCAGCAGGTCCTGGTACTCCCTCAGGTGCCGAGCCATCTCGGTTTTAGTGTTGCGCAGGTCAGCCTCCAGCTGCCCAATGGTGTCCTGCAGAGAGGCAATGATAAGGGTTCCCAGGACTGTGTTTTGGTTTTGTTGTTTTTTTCCCCACAGCTGTTCTGCTCTGCACATCCCAAACAGGGGCTTGGGTGCTAACAGGGATGGTGAAGCAGGCAGAGTGCTGGGTACAGCTCATAACAGCATGCAGTGGGATGGGGCTTTAAACACTGATGGTTTTATATATTCTTCAGTAGGTTTAAACAGCACCAGAGCAAGTATGGGGTTCAGTGGGACCAGACAGAGCACCGAGCGGGTGGCTGGGACACAGCTGCAGGGCAATGGGAGGGAAAAGCTTGCACCAGAAGAGCAAGATCCAATCCTCCCTGGCAAATCCCCTGAGCTGCAGGCCTGAAAGCAGCAAAACTCACTCCCGTGGGGGATCTTTCTAGGCCAAATGCTTTCCCATGTTGGTCGCTCTGCTGTGCCACTGAGGCTGCATGATGTGCATGGGCAATGAGTAAGCAGTTTGCAGCAAGTGCCTGCAGAACCTGTGGTGGCCACTGCAAATGCCAGCTCCCATCCCCTACAGCCAGCCTTTTCCACTGCCTCTGCCGTAGCACTGAGCATCATTTAGCTCCTAATCAGGAACACCGTGCAACAAACTCCCATGCACTGTCACACTCACAGCAGAGCCTGTGAGTCACATAGAAAGA